GAAATCATATCTTGAGATTAAGCCTTCTGTAATGTAATGTATATTTTGTTTGTCCATGTCTGTTATATACATAAAAGTAAATGAATAATAAAAAAAAGGAACGGGAAATCTACTCAATTGACAAATTCAAAACTGTTTTTGTCATGGGACTGATTACAATTTGATATTTCTGATGTCTATAATTATAGTGACAGTGACACTGATAGATTTGTCTCTGATTTAAAAGACAGTGATCTTGTAGCTATAGGCAACTGATATTTATTTATTTGTCTTCTGTTTTTGCAGTGTCCTCGTGTTGGGTAAATAAATAAAGGGTATTTCATCGAGATTATTTAACGTGAGGCCGCCCTAAACCAAATAACACGGTCATAACCGCATTCTTCGATTTGTCTACCCTGTTTTTCGGCCATATTTACAATCAGATGAACATTTCTCCAATGTCAGATATACACGAACGCAAACTTGAACACGCTGCAAAAGATAGTTACATGTAATTGTTTGCAAAATAATCACGTTGTGTGATAAGTTAAACAATGACCGAGTTTGGTAGATTATGTGTGTCAGTCATCGGAGCTTCGTCCCCTCGTTTTATGACGCAGAGTCTACTGAAATTGGGGAGAATTGGACATTATTATAAGGACAAGAGCGAATCACTGACTAGTGTCTTTGTTTAGACCCAGTGGGCATTGACGTCTAAGGACACTTGTCTCGGACTGTCATATTTCGCATTGAAGCATAAAAATGAACTGGATAATTCCCGCCCTTCTCCAGTCCTGGCATATCGAAGATATGATAGCAGATTGTTTTCCGCATCTGTATATGTTATGCTCTAGTAGCTCAGGGCCAGTATGATGAAGTGATCGTTGTTGCCTATTGGGGTCTAAGTCTGAATAAATCTGAACGTTATATCAGAGAAAGAGTCCCTAGCAGACTACCATATAAGGAAAAGAGTCGGTTAAACAATCGATATTAACGACGATTTCCCTGGATTTAACATGTTCAAACCCACAATTTAATACTTATTCACAGGCCAGAGATTCTGAATTAGATGTTTTGTAAGATGCAAATAACGAGATTTGGCGACATACTGCCAGACATTGCCCCAATGAAAGAACTGATCTAACTGATCCTCCAGCTCCTCTCTAGCTGCCCAGAGGAAATTGAAAATCTTATATGTTTTGCGAATAATACATTTGTGTACATATAACGGTTGTGATTGTATGCTTCCCGTATAGTTGAGATGGCGTATATCTGATTGACTCAGTATGTGGTCAATTAACCGTGGAAGTAATGTGAAGGACTCCTGGGAATGGTATCTCAAAGATTTTCCATTTTGCACAGAAACACGCCCTCAACAGTCAAGCAGCATCGCTTCTATTTGTTAGCCGACATGGTGGCGTGTTTATTAGCATTTAAATATGCACGCTTCATCCTGTTGACGTCTTAAAATGAAATGTTAATTTACATAATTTTTATTTGCATACATATGAGCAATGTGGTGTGATTAATTACATTAATTAAAGTACATGATGGGTGATAATAAACAGCATATACCTGTTTGCAAGATCACTATGGCAACAAAGTGACGGGGCCACATAATGATATATGTAAGTTGTTTATTGGTTTAGCATTACGTAACAATATACAGATTAGTAATTACATTTTTACATAGTTTTAAACAGAATAAATGCCGGTCGTGTTAGGATTTCTGTCTTCTTTCAACAAATAAACACACTATAAAAATATAGAGCTTAGTGGTTGCACATAGACTAATTACATGTGCCAACCTGTAAAAATGGATCACTGTACATCCTAGCAATCAGCTGAAAATATATAATATGATGACACAGACACATTATGCTGTTAAATACATACATATTGGTTAGTGTCGATTTAGTCCACGAACTAGCTGACGTAAACTAGGTCACAGTTAGCAAATTGCACTATTTTAAAATACTCTGCCCTGTCTGTATTTAGGTAACAGCTGATTCACTTACATAACATAGTTTTGATGAGATACACAAAGTGTATGGGGAAAACTAGATTGATTGCTAGCGAGGATTTATCGATAAAAGATTGCATAAGAAAAAAAAAGTACGGCCAGCGTGTGTACATTTCGCAGGTAGTTTATTCAAAGCACCCCAAGCCCTGCTCGCTACAACCCCGACCCAGATCTGAACTACCATTGCTACAAGAATCATTCTGCCTCGGCGTCTATTTCCGCTGGATTTTCTTTTGCTTTAACGTCCTCGCTTAGATCATATCTGCCACATCGAACTAAATTTTCACAGAGAATATCGATTTTATACATTGAACGCGGCAAGTTGTTTCTCCACGATATCAACATGTCAAATATCTGATCCTCCATACTATTTGGGTTATCACGTTTTATTCTTTGTATCTGCGGTTGTGAGTATCCAAGGTAACGAGCTAGTGACTCCCATTCATTGGTTAGTTCTCTTGACAAATCACGAATACCTTCTTCGCTAAGTGGACCTACAGAAAAATACAAATACACAGATTGCCAAAAGTTAATCTCTGTCTACATTGCCGCCCTCAACGTCAAGACATTTAAAATATTGAGTATCGAGCAGTAGCCGCGGTTGTGATATATACAAGTACTTAACTATACTATGTTAGAAAGACTAACATTACAATGCATGATAGATACTGTGAACGTTATAAAGTTTTACAAATGTACTATTTCTTAAATTTAAAATGACAAGTCGAGCAATTCAGCAGCATAACGAGTATGGGGAGTCTTCACCTGCGCATGCGCCATATGATGATAGCGTGTCATTGTTTACAAACACGCGCCTTAGCGTGTGTTGTTATCATAGCTTGGGACTCAATTCCCTCGCGTGCGCAGGTGACGGCCCTCCCGATTTAACATTAACGAGTTAGTACAACCGTTACGTCATTTAATCAGTAAACGCCAATTTGAATAAATTGATTGAAGGCATGTGAGCGCGACATGCGTGTAGACAATGTTGAGAACTGGAGTCAAGTATATTTCTTTATTTGAATAATAACTGAGGGCCTGTATTTACAAATATTTATAAAAGCTTTTATAAACTAAGGTAGAAGTTTCACCGTGTGTCAGGAAATACAAAGGCTGAGAAATAAGAGTGAACTTTACCTTGTACTTTGACAGCCTGCTTGTATACCTGCTTCGGTTGAGGCGGCGGACGTTCAACCTACAAAATAAAATAATAATAACAACAACAAACACACATCTGGCGTGTCATGACCATAAATGTATGGTTATCTAACTTTGTTTATGTGTACATTTTTAGTATTCAGTAACTATAGACACAACAAACCTATTCTCTTAATTTTCGTAAATTTTTCAGGTTTCTGTTGGCTGATGGGATACCATTGGAACTTTTTCAATTGATGTTTTTACGCACTGCGCTCTCGATTGACTGGTTGATTTCACCCGCCATTGAAAGTTATAAATATTTATAAATATGAGGGCAATGGTTTTGCTGCATCGTGAGAAAAGCTAATTAAATCACGTTTGTCGGGATTATTGCCATGTTTTCGCTACGAAAAATTATACCACTGTTACTTACGATGAACAATAAAGAACTTTGGAACAAAGACTATGTGCGTCCTGTCCTGTGAGTGTATATTTAGACTCTAAATGTAAGAGCGATGGCGGAAAGTTCACACACCTATGCACATACCATTGTCTGCGGGTTTAAATAGTTTACAGATGGCTGGCCGCCCAAAAGTTATGAATATAATTTGCAAATTTTGCACAGCCCAATTCGTCGCACCAAAAAACGCAATTTTACCTTTGGAACAGATACAGGTAGTTCAGCAAGAAACGTCCACCCTTCATAGGGGTCCTTTTCTTGTGTCCTTTAACGTTCTGTTGTTGATCTTCCTCCTCTTCTCCAATCTCTCCGTTCTCTACTGTTTCCGGTTCGTCGGGAGGGTGCGCACGTCCGTAAAACCTAGCGTGACCTTTATCGTGATCTGAGGCAAAGTTTCGGAATTGATCAATGGCCTCCAGGTAGAGCTCTAATCGTTCACTTTTTCCGAATTATATATCAGTTTCAACTCTTTGTCTTCCGTTGGACGGAGGTTTCCATCAAACACTACCATGACCTGTTCGCCCTCAACCATTTCAATTTCAGGGCTTGGGTCAGGTGGACCTTCAAAGCCTTCGTTGATCATCTTGTCTTCAATATCATCTATTTTACTATACGGCGATAGCTGTACCATGACGTGGCTTCTGTCTTCCACATGCTGGTGTACAATAATGCTGACTATCTTGACTTTGATCCAGTCCTCTACCATATTAGCCAAATGAACCATTGCACTATTTGAATCCGGTTTGGCAGAGGTGCGTATCAACACAACCCTATTGAAAAAGATGTTAGATATGTAAAATACTGTACTTGTTTGCCTATTTTGTTCACTTTGTTACTGTGCTCTACTCACGTTATATACATATCCCTGATGTACACACTGTCGACACAATTTACCCGAATACACATCGCACTGGGTGAGGCAAAAGACCCCCCCCCCCCACACATAACACTGTGTGGGCAAAACAACGACAAATCACGCTGTGAAGAGCAAACAACCACACATAGCACTGCGTGGGACAAGCAGCCACAAATCACACTGTGTGGAGCAAAAAATCCATACATCACACTGTGTGGGGAAAACAACAACAAATCACACTGTGTGGAGCAAACAGCCACAAATCACACTAGGTGGGGAGAACAAACACAAATGACACTGTGTGGAGCAAAACATCAACACATCACACTGTGGGGGGGGGAACAGCCACAAATCACACTAGGTGGGGAGAACAAACACAAATGACACTGTGTGGAACAAAACATCAACACATCACACTGTGTGGGGGGAAACAGCCACAAATCACACTGGGGGGGGAACAAACACAAATGACACTGTGTGGAGCAAAACATCAACACATCACACTGTGTGGGGGGGGGGACAGCCACAAATCACACTAGGTGGGGAGAACAAACACAAATGACACTGTGTGGAGCAAAACATCAACACATCACACTGTGTGGGGGGAAACAGCCACAAATCACACTAGGTGGGGAGAACAAACACAAATGACACTGTGTGGAGCAAAACATCAACACATCACACTGTGTGGGGGGAAACAGCCACAAATCACACTGAGGGGGGGTATAAACCATAATCACACTGTGTGGAGCAAAACATCAACACATCACACTGTGTGGGGGGAACAGCCACAAATCACACTAGGTGGGGAGAACAACCACAAATCACATTGTGTGGAGCAAAAAATCGACACATCACACTGTGTGGGAGACAACAGGCACAAATCACACTGTGGGGGAAGGGGAATAAAAACCATAATCATACTGTGTGGAGCAAACAAACACAAATTACACTGTGTTGGGAAAGAAACACAACAAGCACTTAAGGAGAAAATAATCACATATCCCACAACCTCAACAACCACACATTACATAGTATGGAGAAAAATACCATAGTATTTTGACAAAGAAAACAAATATATTTACGAAGAACGTAATAAGAACATTAGACCCAGGCATAGTGGAGGAAGAGGCACGCGATACACAGAATGTAGAAATCTGACAAGCAATACATGCAGTAAGCAGTATTAGGAAAGTAGTTATAATCACTTGTTATTCCTTCTGATCTCGTGTTGCTTTCAAATTGTCCGATATTGTTGTTGTGTAAAATAAAACATTGCGTGATAGTTGTCATTTGTTTCGACAAATTTTCTGGCACATGCACAGCACAATAATTTTGTTTTAAAAGGAAAACACAATCACGTCGTAGTATATAGTGAAAGCAAACTCGCAACACATTGCAGTTATGTGGAGGGAAAAACAGGTACATAGAAGTTTGAGATATCTGGCGTGCAGTGTGGAGAAAATCTACATATCGTGTATAACAGACGCATAGTAAACGTATGGAGAAAGCAGACACACGGATCAGTACGGGCACTGTAAATAAAACACACGTAACAAATATTATCTATGTTTGAAATCCATTTTATACTTTTACTCACCTATGTACAGGACTGTTCAATTCGAATGATACAACATCATTTTTACAGTATGATAAACGTACACTCTTCATCTCATGCCAGGCTGTATTATTATTTCTGACTAAGACATGGAGTGTCTCCAACTCTTCTGCTATCTCAGCTTCATGGTGATGACTGACAGCCTGTGCAGCCGAAACACCTTTGCTTTTCAACGCCGATAAAGTGAACGCCGATGGTCTAAGATCTTTGTTGTCTCTCTTGGCCGGGTTTGGTGGTAATGGTAGATTGATTGTGATTGGTTTCTTGAATTCCTTTGGTGTTGGGGAATGGGTTATGCGTACTATTGGGCTTGATGCGGCCAATAACTCGCATTTCTCACGTCTCTTTTTCAACAAATTCACGGTGTTGTTGTCAAATGCATGGACCTTGAATGAATAGAGAAAAACTTTGTTGAGCATACCATGTACACTATATCATAGTAAAGCATTTGTCACACACAACCATGAAACAAAATGTTTTCATTTGTGGGCCAAACACGGAAATCAGAAATTCATACGTGAAGGCAGTAAGCTAGAGCATGGTTGTACTAGTTATAACTCCAGTATTGTATAATGAAATAATTACAAAAAGTCAAGAAGAATTGTTCTACCTAATATAAACTTAAAACTGACCTCCAAAGATATATCGTTTGGTCTACTTATACATCCGTGTGGATAGGTAACGAACACTCTTCTGTCACCTGATGACGCCAATGTGCCACCCTTTTTGTCGACCGTATGTCTGTCACGAAGTAAACGAGATATAACAACATATGTTGCAAATTCTTTCACTTTCATTTCAGCAAACATTTGTCCCTGTAGAATGAAATAATGATTATTAGTTGAGTTTACTGTAGCTGGATATAATTGATTGACGGTAGAGCTCTACACAAAGGTAAAAATATTGTCATTTTTCTATAGTTTTATGGGTTTGATATATCATGTTACAAGGATAAGAAATAAATGAAAAGGTAGGTCACCCCGTACTCAGTTCAAAGAAATCGATATTTAAAATACAGTGAATATAACATGTTTTGTCTAGGGCATTTCTACCATTGTTTCCTGTGGTGAGGATATATTTCAATTTCGCAATTTTTTTTTGCTCGGCGATATATAGTGGGGAAAAGATATATATTGTCTTACAAGTTGATTGTTGATGTTCAGAAGTTTAAACAAATATGTTTAGTAGGTTTTTAAAGAGGAAATGTGTTTTCATTGTAGTCTATGGAAACCGCTGCTAGAATGGCATTTAATTCTTATTATTTTACCGTTTTTCTCAACAATCAGATTGACAGTGAACCAACAAATTCACATACAATTGACTAAAACTAAAACGAATAATTGTAGACAGATTTTGACAACAAATATTACTACTGCTGCTGAATTCGCTAAAATATGTGCACATGAAAAAACGCGTGAGTAGCAGTGTTGCATAGATCCATAAATAATTCATATAATAAGTGATAATTGTAAGCTGTATTAATACATACTAATATAGCCAAGCACAACTACTATTAACTACTAATATAACAAGCTCCTTTTAGACCCAATGAATTCCTTGCTATTTTCAACCATAGATTCAATGTACGACACATATGCATGTCTTAGGTAATCAGGTTTTATATAAAAATGCTGCTAAACACGTAATATATAGTACAAACAAGTAGCTCTCGGCTGAGATAGCTCCGTAATTTCAATTAGAGAATTGTCATCACAAAATCAACAAATCTGAGAGAGGTCTACCAGATGTACCCATATGTATGATCTCAAAGCAATCGGACTTGCGGTTTTCAGCAAGAAGTCCGAAATATTACTTTTTACCAAAAATTACAAAAAATACTCATTAAAATTAGGGAATTGAAGTTATCATCACGAAATTGAACACTTGTGTGAGAAGTCCACCTATAGTACCTATATATATAATATCAAAATATAACTTTTTCTTTTTGAAAAGCCCCACCATAAATATCATCAAAATTCATCATTAACCTTACCAGTTGTTTGGCAATGAATAATCATTGGAAAATTGCAATGGGATTTAAATCTCCCCCGGACTCTAACTAATTGTCCAATCACGTAATCAACTCTTGCCCCATTATTACTGATACTGTTATTCACACTTCCAATCCCTTGGCTATAATATTACAGCCCTAACATAGATTTATTAAATAAATGTCAAAGGATATTGAAGCAAGATTTGTATTACCTTATAATTTTCAAAAACTCTCTCAATTGAAGTCGTTGAAATTACTTTCCAATCCTTGCCATTCTTGGTTGATTTGACAACGACCTCTCTGCCATGTATAGAGCGTGCCCGGCCAGCGTAAGGTATAGAAACCAGAGCTGGTTTGCTGAGTTTGATATCCTGGGGTTCAACACAGACAACAGCACTCAGTACATCCTCATTCTCTCCCATAGCTTTATGTGCCCATACATTCATTGGTTTGTAGCTGACACTTATACCATCAAATGTTCCAGGCGGTCCACGGACCAGACAATTAAGTTTGCTATCTTCTTCATCATCCAATGGAAACCTAATACGTGAGTGGAATAATCAAATAGATGTATAGTAAATGAACATGATCTGTCTCAAAAATTAATCTAAAAATTTTGATTTAACATCTAGTTCGAGTTTACTATTTAGAACTACGCCATGTGCAATGCCAACACGTCTCTGAGGGCATATGCTGATAAAATAGTTTTGAAGTAGATTTGGTCGTGCTTTCATGTTTCGTCACGCTAAGTTTTGATTCGGGAAAAATCATTGCATTATCAGACAGCATGCATATCATGACCAGTAGAAGCAAGACCAGTTAAGACATAATCAAATAACAATCGACATTATAAATAAATTAATGATTTGTGTGTACTCACGGATTGATATCCCAGCTTTTTGGATCATTTCTTTGCACATCTTCAAGTGAATCCTCAGCTTCTCTGGCAGCTGCTTTACATTTTTGCATGTCTCTTTTAATTTCAGTTATATCTTTGTTCAGCTGCTTCTGCATTCCACGTATTCTGTCCATTGGCATATCTCCTCTCTTTGCATAATCTAATAATTTGGTGGCTGCTTTTTCCAAAGATTCAATTGATTGTTTCAAATCAGTTGAATATTTCACTGCTTTTTGAATGCTATTACTTGCCATATTGGTTGCAAATCTAGATTCTTCAGTGTCTTTGCCACTTTCCTCTACTATTTTGCTTGTTGATTCTGCTGTGGCATCTGTCTCCTCGGCAACCTGTTTTGCTTCTTCGGCAACATCTTTACCTTCACTTGCAGTTAATTCTGCAGCTTTAAGAATTTTTATTTTTTCCAGCACTTTCTTGGCATCATCAGCAATTTCTGTTGTCTTTTCTGAATCCTTCATTGCTTGTTCTAGTTTTTCTTTGGCAATATCCATTTTTGCTTTAACGTCATCCATGGCAATACTGACTTCTTCAGCCATTCCATCATCAACCTTGCTTGCACCTTCATCCACCACAGGTGCATCAGCATCTTTATCTTCTGGTTTCTCAACATCTGCATTGTCTTCCTCTTCTTTTGGCTTCTCTTCTTCATCTTTTGGCTCCTTCTCCCCTTCATCCTTTGGCTCCTCCTCTTCTGTGGATTTTTCTTCATCTTCACTTTTTCTTGTCTTCCTCTGGTTTTTCATCATCAGCTTGCTTTTCCTCTTCACCAGCTTCCTCTTCTTTTTCTGTTCTGCTTCTTCTCCATCAGGTTTCTCTGCTTCTTTTGGTTTATCTTGCAATCTCTTGTCTTTCAGTATTTCTGCTGCTTCCTCAACATCTTCCCCAGCCTTTTGGGCCTCCTCAGCAGACAACTGTGCTTTTTGTCCAGCCTCATTCAAAGCCTCAACTTGGGCCTTTATTTCATCAGACTCCTCATCACCTAATTCCTCAGCTACTTTTCCAGCATCTGTTGCTATTTCCGCTGCTAGTTTAGCTTGTCTTTTCACCTCTTTTGCATACTCTCTTGCTTCATCCACAACTTTTAATGCTTCATCCATGGCTCTTTTTTCTTTCAATTTACTTGTAACATATTTTGATGCAGTTCTACTCTTTTGAATCAAAGCATTTGCCACCTCTGCATGTTTTTGTGCATCTTCCGCATTTTCTTCCGTCTCTTGTGCTTTTTGTTTCACATCTTCCAGTGTTGATTCCATGTCTTTTGATATTCTTTCTGTTTCTTCTGCAGTTGTTTCAGTAGTACTGATTGACTTGTTTGTCTCATCAATTGGTTCTTCAGTACTTTCAATATCTTTTCTTGCTTCTTCTAACTTAAGTTTTAGTTCTTCTTCAAAAGCTTGATCTTCCTCTGAGTATTTTATTGCTTCTTCGAGGGCTTTTTTGGCTTCCTCTAGTGCTTCACTAACCTCAGTCCCAAGCTGTTTAGCTTTTTCTGCAATGCTTTTAGTTTCCATCCCGATTTTTTCTTTTTCCTGTTTGCTTTCTTTTGCTTCCTTCTCTCTTTCAACTGATTTTCTAATGTTTTCTGCAGTTTTGATTTCACTAATTGCTTTTTCCAATTCTGATTCAGTCATCTTGGACCGTGAAGATGCTTTCTGTGCTACTTCTGATGTCTGAGTGGCAAGTTTCTCGACTTCTTTAGCAAGTAAAACAAGTTCATCCAGCGCTTTTGATTGGTTCAGCAATCGCATTAACAATGAATCTTGGACCTTTTTCTGATCTGTGTATCAAAACAAAACCAAAAAGGAAATAAATCATTTAGGCGTTTTTTCACAATGTAAAACAATCAGTCATCAACACTGAATGAATGAGCATACAAAACATAAGGTTAATAAAATGTCAAACAAATGTGCATGACAATACTTCCTACCTAGCACATGCATTAGCATAATGTAGTACAGAGCCTTATCAAAAACATACAATGTGTTGGACAGACAAAGCCATAAAACAGTGGGCAATGCTTACTAAAAATGTCAATATACTCAATATATTTCTGACAATTAAGCTTTCCAATCAAGGTGAAGTAAAATTACACAATTATATTTATTTTATACAATTTACCAGAAACATAGGTCTTGATTTTTATGAAACAAATATTAAGCTAATGAATAATCATTAATCTTATGAGATCAGTCAATGATGACGCAGTGTGTGAGTCACTGATAATGTCAGAATTTTTTTCAATAACCATTTCCCGAAGACACTGGGAGCCATTGATTGATAATATCATTCATCACCATGTGAAATACTAGTATGTTATGTATAGAGTTTGTTTATTAAACTGATATACGACAAGCTTGTAAGTATTATTTCCAGTGTCTCAAATACTAAATTGGTTGTGTGATGTCCACTTCACTATAAATTGTAATACTCAAAACATGTTGCTAACATGAACAAATAATATATATATATAGTTAGTGATTGGAATACTGACTATACACATTGCTGAGACACGAAAATATATGCACTCTGTTTCTGTTTACAATTATAATATTGAGCAATAAACGTAGTTGCTAAGGGAAATATTTGCTCTCAGTTTATGAATATTATATAGGATAATAAACATAGCAGCTAAGGACACTCAATTTACCTTTATAATACTGGGTAGTAAACATGACAGTCAAGGACAATATATGCATTCAGCTAACGAATATAATACTGAGCAATAAACATGGTTTATAACCTTGGTTTATAAATATATATATATATATATATTCACTCAGTTTACAATTCATTGAATACGTTCACCCTGTGGCTGATACTATTTTTAGCACGCAATGAGGCTTTGTTATAATGTAACTAGGCAACGGCAATTATATTTGCTAGTGAATCGTCTGATAAACAGCCTCGAATGCATAGTGAGAGATGTGATCTGTCAGGTTGTGTTCTATTCAACAAACGTGAGATATAAGACGTAATATGTGTATTCTATGGACTAAAATATAACACATGCAAACAATGCCTTGTCCTAATATAACCCTTAATTAAGTATGTTAACAGTGGAACATCCCCTTCAGTTTCTGGAGAGGGAGTTATACTATCCAGTAAATGTACAATATTTTGTGTTGCTAGAGAAGGTTATATACATATATGATATATGTACTGTATTTTGCATGCCTGAAAATGGGAGAGTTATAAGAGGACAAGTACTGCACCATTTAGTGTTGTTGAAGATGGGTTATACTGGGACACATAGTGCAGTACTTTGTGTTGTTGAAGATGGGGTTATACTGAGGACACATAGTGCAGTACTTTGTGTTGTTGAAGATGAGGGTTATACTGGGACACATAGTGCAGTACTTTGTGTTGTTGAAGATAAGGGGTTATACTGGGACACGTAGTGCAATACTTTGTGTTGTTGAAGATGGGGTTATACTGGGACACATAGTGTAGTACTTTGTGTTGTTGAAGATGGGGTTATACCGGGACACATAGTGCAGTACTTTGTGTTGTTGAAGAT